ACTGTATGAAAGATATACTATAACAGTTAACATTAGTTGTGAAATAGTATCAGTAGACATGCATTACTTGTCCAGGGATGTAGAATACCAACTACATGATCGTAACGAACAAGTTGGTAATGATAATATAACCAATGTATTAACCTGTAAAGTTAGCTCTTGTATCACTGTTGCATACTAGTCGTAAACATATGATGTGCCCAAATTAGTTTATCCTAATAGACAAAGACAACTCATAGCCTCATAGCTCATGTTATCCGATTATAGACAAGTTAACCAAAGACACTAAACATGCAATAAGCCAGTTATTGTTAAACTATTGATTATCGAACGCTGGAAGCGTAGACTTCTGGATTCCCAAAGAACTAAATCATACATTGATAGAACATAGCATCACCTCCAAATATGAACCAAATGCTATTGTATTAAGTGCATATCTGTTAATAACCTTAATTAGTGAAGCATCGCACCTGTTAAGACTGGTAGAATTGTTAATAAGATAGATGATGTAGTCCTAACCGATCTAGATATATAACAAAACTTAGATTATTTTATGGATTGCCATACTAACGGAGATCCCATTATCTTTTCGCTTTACACGAAATTGGTAATGAATACTTGTTGCCGAAAGAGAAATGAAAGAATATACTCAACCTCAACTCGAACCCTGCACACGTCGTGTGGTATGGTGTTGATTTTTTTGATGTCATGCTTCAACAAATTTCAAATGAGTCATCGACACGTGGATTTTGCCACCCTGCAAATATTTGTATTGGATGCTGGCTGCCGGATGACATTCTTGAACTGAAACAATCAAAAATGAGTGTTTGCCATCTCAAACAAAGTTGCAATACACCTCAGAAACAACAAGGGGCAAGTCATTTTATTTGGCTATAGCCATGGTTGTTTCCCCCCGTCCCGATCATCATTGAAGTCGTTTTGCTCCTTCAACACATGCACACACCAGGCTTCCACCCAAAAACTGTTTCCACCCTAACTGTGGGTCGGCAAGACTTAGCGTCGTGCGGTGCACATGTTGATACAGACCTAAGACATCCACTGTGTGCTGACTTTTGGTGTGATACGCACGCACCTGCAACAATCTACCAGGCACATGCTCTTGGGCTGCAATGTTACGGAAGGCCTTGCGAGACATCATGATGAGGATGCCGGCGTACTTGTCCGGATTGTCCTTCGCTGCATGGCCGGAGCTGTGTATGCAGCTCCACTCTCCACTGCAGAAGTCCTCGGTGACTCCCCAATGGGTTTCTTGGAGGATGACAACATCCCATGTGCCGTTTGTGGCAAGCCAAGCCATTAATTCCTGAAAAATGTGCGAAGCAAGCCCTCCTACATTCCAATTAAGTACCGACATGTTCGGAACCGGCCTGAAAGGGGCACTTCTTCGGCTGCTGGTCGCCTTGTGGAGGGGAGTGGGGCTGTGCTGGGTTATCTGCAGATTGGTCAGTGCCTGCTTGCTGTGCCATCGTCCCCTGTACATAGTACCTTCCTGCGGTGATGTCAGGGCGCGGCGGCATGCACGCTTGTAAGCACGTTTGGCTTGCATGTTGAGGCTGTTTGGCCTAATTAAAGAGGTTCCCCCGCCTGGGTGCGCGTGGTCGCTCCGCTTCCCTGGTGCAAGAACTCGTCCCGCACCAGGTCTCTCCTCTGTCGCGACTCCAGAGGAAACCCTCGCTCCAACCGTAGCATGTATAAGAACTAGTGTAAAAGGTCTAGGGATGGGTCTACGGCCTCCGGACTTGGGACCGGAGCGGCTTTGTGTTGAGGCTTCTTGTTGCGATATGCAGCTAGTAGGGTCACTTTTCTTAGGGCTAGGGGCAGAGGGATGATTATCAGGGTGGTGGTTCCTGCGTAAGGGCCTACTCGGGGCAGTCTGGGGATTAACTGGGGAAGCAGTTGGCTGTCCTGTGGCATGTGCTGCCCGTCGGCCAAGGCAGGCCGAGGCCGGCAGTGCACACCTGCATGTGTGGCGCTTGCGATGTCGGCAGGCTGCAGTTTCATGGCTGAAGGCGTGCATTGCTCGCATGATTTGAAACCTATCTGCACATAGGCTGCGTGGTCGTCCAATTGATCCCCGGTCCCGCCTTCTAGTCAGCGCCCGCCTCCTGTCCTCGCCCAGGATGGTAGGTGTGCGTAATGCGGTACTCATAGTCCGACCACTCACGCAGGAAAGCGCCCCGAAGGCGCTGTGTCGATAGGCTCTGGGTCTGCTGCCAGGTGAGCTGGTTGAGCCTTCTGCGAAGGGCCCCCACTCGAGCAGCCATGGTACGGCTGTTGAGTGTTTCATCCTCCTCGCGTAGTTGTCTGCGGTACAAGTTGACGAATGCAGTTCGGGCTGATTCCAACTCCTCATCTTCGGGGATGAGGGATGTTTCCGACCACCATCCCTCGTCTGGTGCCGCGTCGTCGTTCGCTGCTGCAGCGTCGTCAAGCGCTGGTTCGTCGTCTTCGGCAGAGCTGGTGGAGGATTCCGACTCAGAGGATTCTTCCAGAGTGCGCGGGCGCCTTGCTGGTGTGTAGCGCGGACGCTCCTCTGGCACTGTGGTTGTGTCCTCCGTATGCGTGTCATCTGAGCAGGCTGGCTGGTCATCAGCCGGATCTGGTCCATTAACAGGTCTCGGTCGAGGCGGTCCATTCCAGCGAAAGCCTGGGTGATCTGGTGGCAGTGGTCCATCGCGGCCTTCGTCCCTGGGCGTGTGATCGTCCCTGGCTTCGGCAGCGTCCATGCCGTTAGAAGCAGCGTCAGAATCAGCAGCAAGCGAAGCATCGCTATTGTCTCCATCTGCCATACAGAAAACTTCGCCGAAGAGGAGAGAAGAACAAACAACCGCGAAGCAACCCCCAGAAAAGGAAGGAGACCCGAACCCACACAAGGGCACTCAGTGCTGCGAGCCGTGGAGCTTCATCATCCGCATCATCATCATCATCAACATCATCATCATCATGGTTGTCAAAATTAGGTTCCCATTTTGGGTCCTTCGTATAATACGGCGTTTAGTATTTAGGGTACCCAAAAGGGGACCCTAATTTTGACAACTCACCCTATCATCATCGTCCTGCTGCTCCACAGTGTCGGAGCTTCTTTCTTCTTTCGTCAGGCCGAAACGCTAGGTGCTCAACCATTCAATCCGGTTTGGGGTGTGGGTTTTAAGGTACAAGCACCCCTGAACCCTCAACCCTAAACCCCAAGCCGTCTATAAGGTGTGTCGGCGCTGGCGGCGCCGTTGGGGCACTGTGGCTTTACTTCCGCCGTTCGGCAGAGCCCGACGGCCCGGCAGGTAGGCAGCCTGGCTTGAAGTATCACTTACTTCTTGGCTGTTATCGCAAGTTTGATTGTGGGTTTTGCTGGGAGTTGATTAGGGGTTATCTTCGCAGGGTTCATTTTGGGGCGTATTCTTGCTTCTTGAGTCGGCTCTACTGTATGGTTGCAGGGATATTGTGTTCAGGGTTTCTGGTTGAGCGGTTTCGCGCAGTTCTTTCAGGAGCCGGATCCGAGCAAGTAACTGCTGCTGGCATGTAGGATTATCGAGCATGGGGCAGCTCATGTCGCGTCGAAGTGCCATTGCTTCTGTTGAAAGAGCTCTTATCCGCCTTAAGTAATCCTAATTATGCCCAATCAGAGCATGGAGGGAACTTCCGGAGGTCTGGGGCCACTCAGCGTTCGTAGATCCTGATGTCCAAATCGTAGAGCGTCAAGCCCACCGCCAGAAGTCGACTCTTAAAGTGGAGCACCGCCGAACCCACAAATCTTCCTGGTTTCAGCAGACTTGTTCGGTCTGTCTGTCCGTATGCATGCATCTTGGGGACAAGGCAGTGCAAGACATGTACACCTCGAAAGCATGAAACAGCCACGGCACATCCAAAGTTCAGAAGCCGCAACATCCTCACGGCTTGACAGGCTTTGGGGTATGAGGGGGCTTCAGATTAATTGAGAGAGACTTCAGCTTGTCCTGGGATGACTTACTGTAGAGGCCTTAATAATTAGAATAGGGTTTTGGGACATATTAGACTATAACTATGATAAGGAACCCCCTAGAACACTATTGGCAGTTAGTTATTTAGGCCCCTATATTATGGTACCCTACTATACATCCCTTGTAGGCCCCCTTAAGGAACCACCCCTATTCTACTTACTAAGGCCCCCATATTATTGTGCCCTACTCTAGATCCCTAGACCCCTTTAAGGAACCCTTTAAAGGGCACCCTATTCTAATTATTAAGGCCCCTTTTTCCGATGGTTTTAGGGCCCTACATTACAAGTGCAGCGCCCACACCATGAGGCCTTCCCGGGACGTCGATGCAGGGCTCCGCTACGTCCGCGATGAAGGAGTGCCGTTGCACACGCTTTGCCTCATACCAAGGAACCCTTAAGGGTTACTTTTAAGGGATACTATAAGGCTCCCTTAAGGGTATACTATAAGGGCTACTACAAGGTACACGTTTTGCCTCGTGCCTATACTTGGAGGTTCATGGGTAGTTATAAGTGGGGTTATAACTCCCCTGATATGGGTTTTAAGTATAGTTACCCTACTTATAACCCGACTTAAAACTACCCATGAACCTTCAAGTAGTCTCCATTGTAGTTCCTTCTATTGATTTAACCAAATATATAGAACCCCCAAAGAGGAACTACAATGGAGACGATAGGTAGACCGGCACATCCTAGGTTTAAGCCTTAAGCGCCTTAAATCCCAGACCCCCTTGGGTTTGCAGGAGTATATAGACTCTTGAGAGTGGCAGCAGTTGCAGCCGTTGTAGTCTTAAGCTGCCATTAGTATCCTCTACGAATGCAGTTTCTTTAGCACCTTGGGACCAGAATCTCCGAAGACCTACACTGTCGCGTGGAAAAAGGCAAGCCCAAAACCCGTTGCCTTAATTAATTCCTCACACTTAGCAAAACCACAAAGATCCTAAACCCAATATCCAACGCACTAAAAATCCTAACCCTACACTCTCTCATTTCAGGCTGTGGCCGGCGCATGAGTCACGCTGGTGTCCGCCTCTTGGACGGTCGTTCCGCGACTCGGCCAGAAGGCCCCTGTATCATAGAATAAGTATACTTAGAACACGAAGCCCTTACTTGGAGGTTCATGGGTAGTTGTAAGTGTGGTTTTGGTTAAGTCCACCAATATGGGTTGTAAGTATGGCTACCCTACTTATAACCGTACTTATAACTACCCATGAGCCTCCAAGTAACCCCTTCAGAATCCTTCAAAGGTGTCCACAAAAGGACCCCATTTATTTCACAGCAAGCCTTTGACTTGGTCTTCATCCCCCGAGACCGGGTGACCTAGAGCTCCCCTATGGTTTCTCATAGGACCGCTTAAGGAACCCATTTAGTAATTCTTCCGGAACCCTAAACCTTAAACCCTATCAGGAACCCATGGCAGTAATCCGTATAGTTGCCCCTATAGTAACCCCATGTAGTAACTCTTATAGAGCCTTTTGAGGGAACCCTCTGGTTGTAATCCGTAGAGTAGCCTGATCTCTCTTCTCATGGTGAGGCCATGACATCCGAGAAGTTCAACCTGGCGAAACAGGCGCCTGTCGTCGTAACCGTAGTCGTCACACTGTGAGGATTGAAGATAGCATCGTTCGCGGGAAGGCCGTTGGTTGAATGGTTCCGTTTAAAGCATGGGACCCATGGAGCAATCCCATGGATTCCATAAGTATCCGAGGGTTCCCGGCCCGTAGATTTCTGGGTTTGCCTCGAGAAGCATTGAGTGACTGCTTGGCGCTGCCGTTTTCTGGAAGACTGTAGGAGTGTTTGTATGTGCGAAGGCCTTTCAAATTTTTCCGGCTGCGCTGGCCGAGGGAAGAGTGAACTTCAAGATTCTGCGTGGAAGGATTTCAAGCAGTCAGCCACGTGGGCCCAGTGCCATGACCGTGGCTGCCGATGAAAGCCCCGGAAATTTGAGTTGCAATTACTGCTGCTTGCCAGGGCCCCAGCGCAAATGTGAGCTTGTGTTGCACTGGAAGCAACTGACTTCGATATGGATAGTATTTTTTGTCATTGCCGGTGTGTCTTATCATGCACCACCAGTGATGTTGCCGGCCATTATGGATGAGTTCCATACAGACCAGTACCACGTCTCCTGGATTCCTGCAGTTTTCCAGCTGATGAAGGGCATTTTCACTGTCCCGGGCGGCTTTGCCTTGGATATTTTTGGCTGCACTCGCTGCCTCCGCGCAGGTTCACTGGTGGTCTTGGTGTGTTCGGCCCTGTATCCCATGGCTCCCAGCCTCTGGTGGCTCGCGAGCCTTCAAGGTGTGTACGGGGTGGCATACAACCTCAGTGGCATCGCGGCATCTAGGTGGCACTTTGGGAATATACGTTTTAACAATTCCCCTTTATGATTCCCATAGTGGAAAGACCTTTAAGGCTTAACTTTAAGGGCCCTAGAATCCCTAAACCCTAAACCCTGAAACCCTAAACCCTAAAATCCCTAAACCCTAAACCCTAAAATCCCTAAAACTACAGCCCAGGCATGCATCGTCTTCTTAACTTCATGGTTTGAGCAGCAGAGAGCTCTAGCCATTGCCATCCTCACAACTGCCTTCAGCATGGCCGGCGTCTGCTTCCCTCCCCTGATTCTGGGCTTTGGAGTACCATACTTTAATGCTTTTTTCTTCAAGGAGCCATTATGAAATAAAAGTATATACTTTTTTCTCCCTGGTCACTTTAAAAGCCCAGGATTGGGAGCCTGATCCAACATCACGGCTGGCGGATGGCCTCGTGCTTGGGCCCTGTTCTCATGGTTTTTCTGGTGCTTCCTCTCGCCTTCCTGGCCCTCCGTGATGGCAGCCTCCTGCGCCCACGGAGCCAAAGGCAGCAGTTCCAGGCAGCCGTAAGCTTTCATTCAACTCATCGCCGCTACTGTCTTGATGCGCTGCTGGCTTTAACAATTATTTTTGTTCCTGCTGCTGCTAAGGCTGCTGCGCTGCCTGTTTTTGTTGCTGTCGTGGTGGCTGCGGCTGTTGCTGTTGCTTCTGTTGCTGCATTGCTGTAGTCGCGCTACTCTTGCCGCCGCCGCTGCTGCTGTTGCTCTTGGCGCTGGATGTTGGTGATCGGCATCGGCATTGATCCAGCATCGACTGGTAAGTAGCAGTATTCCTTCTCTGGGTTTGTCTGCACACTAGGCTTTTCTAAAACCTAGTTTTTCTAGAAAAACCTAGCTTTTCTAGAAAAACCTAGTAACACCTAGCTTTTCTAGAAAAACCTAGTCGAAGCATACCCTGGCTCGGTGAAATCACAGGCCTTGGGCTCTTGTCGCCCCAGGGCCCCTTGACTTAGGGGTACTTAGAAATGTATCTTCAATTTTTGGTTATTATAATCCCTAAGAAACATTATAATTTTTGGTTATTATAATCCCTAAGAAACAGCTAGAACTATAATTTTTGGTTATTATAATCCCTAAGAAACATGATCATTTTTGCTAGGGTTGTAAGTTCAGTATAGTTGAGCCATGGGCCTCGTTCTCCCGAGAGCCTGCATTGGGTTTGGAGTTTAGGCCCTTTAGGCTTTGGGTATTAGGGGGGTTTGGGGTTTAGTTACATGGGGTTTAGGGTTTAGGCTTTGGGTATCAGGGGGCTTTGGGGTTTAGTTACATGGGGTTTAGGGGGTTTAGGCTTTGGGTAATTATTAGGGGGTTTGGGGTTCGGGTATGAGGGGTGTAGTGTTTAGGGTTTGCATGGAGGTTAAAGGTTTAGGGTTCAGGTATTGGGGTTTAAAAAACCGCAAGAAGCTGACAGGTCGTGCGGCGGCCTTGCGATGACAGCGAGGAAGTAGAAGATGACCAAAGTACACTCCGAGAGCAAGGGCCCCGAAACCCAGGCTCTTTGAATTTTCAACAAAGCCTCCGGCTCGGGGCAGTGTGGCACCTGGCTTTCCTGTCACTCTATCAGCTCTACATCATCATCGCTTTACTGAATACCTTGGTCCTGTACCTAAAGACAGACGTTGGGATGAGTGTCGAGCTTTGCGGGTTGTATTCGTCTGTTGTCTTTCAGGCCTCGATTGCGGCCAAGCTCTTGGCTGGTGCAGCAATGGACTCTCGTCAGGCGTTGACAGGCATGGTCAGCTGCTTCGTGCTTTTGATCGGGACCCTCCTTCTGCTGGACTTTGCGAATGGGGGACGGGCCCTGACGACCAATCACAACCAGTTGATGGCCTTCGCAGTGATTTATGGTCTTGGCTTCGGGGGTTCTTACAGTGTGTTGTCAGCCAAACCTGCCAAGATGTTCGGCAAGATGGACGACTTTAGCAAACTGCAGGGCTTTTTCATGCTCTTCCAAGTCATTGGTGGCTTCTTGGGCACGCTCGTCACGGGACGCTCAGCTGCATTGTTGTTTTCAACGCTTTGGATGCTTTGCATGTTCTGGTCTGGTGAGACTTCCTGGTGCTGCATGAGGCAAGCTCCGTGCTCTGACGGGCAGCTACACGACCTCTTTCCACATTTTCATTGTCATGGCTTTCATGGCCTGCTTGCATTACATTGGCCTTGAGTTGTCCAAAACGTCTCGGGAGCTCAGAGTCCAGGTAAATCCTGAGCGGCTCTGATTCTCCGCCTCGTTTCACAGCGCAGCCAAACTGCGCAAGACATAGATTTTGAGGGCCCTCTTGGGCCCTTCTTGGAGGTTCATGGGTAGTTATAAGTAGGGTTATAAGTAGGGTAACTATACTTATAACCCATATAGCATATGAGGGGACTTATACCCCCACTTAAAACTACCCATGAACCTCCAAGTTGGCCACTCTGGCAGCAAAAAAGAAGCTCCCCGCCCTGGCAGGGCAGCCGTAGGAACCTCGATCCAACGCCTTCTGACGAACGAATATAGAAGCCTTAACAAATGCGTACACTACTGCTGATGGACAAAATCCTGCATTACCCATGATAAGGAATATACCATAGTTCCCAGTTACCTATAGTCTCCATTGTAGTTCCTTTTTCTGGTTAACCAGTTTTATGGTTAGGATCCTATAATAGAGTTTTTGGTTAACCAAAAAAAGGAACTACAATGGAGACTATAGGTAACAATTACCTACACTATTGTGGGGGTCCTTATTCTAGTATGATGGGCCCCCTTAATCTCTATGCTAATTAGTAAGGCCCCTATAATTGATGCTCAATCAGCGCTGCATCCCAGGGCATTCTGCTCGCCGACTTCGAGACCGATGTTGCTGCAGAGACCTTCTTCTCGAACCCTGCCGAGGCATGGCCAGGTCACTCGCAGGAAAGAGACATCAGGGAAACATGGCCAGGTCCGCGAGACCTACTACAGGCAGGTGTGCGACATTATTCAGATGGATGCTTGGCTTGAATTCCTTCCTTCGGTTCTCTCTGCTTCGCTCTCACTGCTCAGCCTGCAACGTCGATTGTAGAGCACGGGGATGTGGGTCTGTATATACATACACACATACATGTGTGTTCAGTTATATTCTATAATGCATGTATGCGTATGTATGTAACTATGTACGTATGTATGTATGCGCACAAATACATACACATATCTCTATACATACATTTACATATAGGTAGATATGCATACACACAGAGATTTATACATATGTACACACACATCAACGTGCATATTAGGCATGACTCCCGCAAGGTATTAAAGACTGCGAGAGAACTGTAGTACTGGGTTCTCACACATTGCTCCATGCTGCTGCAATATTGTTGTCGCTTGTTAGTACTACCCCATATTGTTACGATCGCAGCAAATGTCAGATTTATACTTGTTGCTGTGACTACTGCCTCTTGTTATTGCTATGGATACTGTTACTCTTCTTTAGTTATCAGCACGATTTCAATACTATGGCATTGTCTCGGTTTAGCGTCGTATGTTGCTACACGTGTGTGTGTGTGTGTATGTATGTATGTATGTATGCATGCATGCATGCATGTATGTACGTACATACATACATACATTGACATCCATCCATACCTACATAATACATATATATATATACATATACACACACATAACACAGATTGTCTACGCCCTCTTCAACAGTGCACTCCACGCAAGGTTACGGGAGCTGACCGGGTCCTGGCGTTCCACCACCACGCCTCAGACTCAGCAATACTTGGAGGTTCAGGGTAGTTATTAGTATAGCGCTCCTATAAGGGTCCCTTTAAAGGGATCTATAGGGATTCGATAAGGGTATAGGGTACTTGGAGGTTCATGGGTAGTTATTAGTAGGGTTATAAGTAGGGTATCTATACTTATAACCCACATTAGGGGACTTATAACCCCACTTACAACTTCCCATGAGCCTCCAAGTGGGGGGTTGAATTGCTGTGGCAAAGACGAGAAGCCGGGCGGGGAGAGGTCCGGCACCAGCGGGCAGAGAACCAGCTGGGTGCAAACGGTGCAGAGGACGCGCTTGCTGGCAAGGCTCTCAGGGTTTTGGGGCGCGCTTGTACCTTAGACAATGCCCTGGCCCTGAACTCTCGGACTGGGCCCACTCAGCGCAGATAAGGCTACGACTACAGAGTCGGCCACCCAGCTATGCAGCTCTGCGCGGCACTGTCGCTAGCACGAGTAGTAGTTTTCTGGTTGCTATGGGGGTTTTCACACCCAAACAAGGTCCCCAACCCCCCCAAACCCTAAAAACAACCCTAAAAGGCCCTAAACCAAAAAAAAAAAAACCTAAAAGGCCCTAAACCCTCACCCAGGTACACAGCGATTACACGGCCGAAAGTGCCTCAGAGGTCTTCGAATGGCAGTGGGCGGCCCAGATCTCTACCGGGCCAGGGAGGGGTCGTTTTTCAGGAGTTTTCTCAAAGGGTCCCAGGTGCTGTTATGGGGAGTATTTCCCCAAATCATAATAGCAATTCCTAATATAGAAACCCTATAGATTCGACTATATAGATACTTTGTTCCCTTTGGGTTTAGGGTTAGGGGTGCTGTAGGGCTTGCGTCGTGTTTTGATTCTTGCGGGCTTGAGCCTTTGTTTGCACTTGCGGTGTTTTACAGGTAGGACTTAAGTAATTCGGCGTACCGGGCCTGAATCATAAAAAGCAGTAGCCCTTCAAGGATAGCTTGAGTCTTACAGCTCTATCTACTTATTCCGATTTGGATTAGAAGCAGGGGTGACTGCTCACCTAGCGATTGCCTTGACCCTTTCGGTGCTTGAGGATCCCAAACCGGATTCGCGTCATCAAGTATACTGCACAGTAATCATCGAAGACCGCTGAGGAAGGGTACTCTTCTTGGTGGGATTGGAATCGCAGGCCACACTGGACCATCCTTAGCCCAAGACCGAGATGATCGATGCTTTGCGCGACAGCGATATAGCTCCACTGCCCAAGCAGCAACAACCATAGCAGCATCCCTAAATGCGGCCCTATTATAGAACCCAGCAGTATCCTTTAAAGGTAGAACCCTACACAGTACCCTTTAAGAGCGCACATCGTATTGGTTGCCGCAAAGGGCAGGATAGCAAGGAGCCGTGATCGTGACCCCACATTGAGGCTCAAGGGTCTGTCAGCAGAGGAGGCGGCTACTTACCGGCAAGGTGCAGGGCCGGGAGGGGGGGGGGACTCAGAGACTCCAAAATCCCTGAATTAAGGAATATACCCTTAATCATATTGGGGATCCTACTATATACACATGGTATATTCCTTAATTTTACCTCGGGGATATTGGAGTCTGTGGGGAGTTGGGGCGGGGTGGGGGACGCTGGGTAAGCGGGGGAAGCCTTTTGCAGGTTCGGCCAAATTTGAACTTCTTTATGTCTCCTTCAGTAGCCTCCTTTGTATATACATATACATATATATATATATATGTATATGCATGTATATGTACAAACACAAAATCATACGAACATAGATACATACATGCTTGATTTTGTCTCTACATAAAGTGAGATCCCTGTCGATGTGTTTCTTCGCTTCAGTGTCCCCCTGCTTGACACACGCAATGACAGCATCTGCATCTACCACTACCACTACTACTACTACTACTACTACTACTACTACTACTACTACTACTACCACTACTACCACTACTACTACCACTACTACTACTACTGCTGCTGCTGCTGCTGCTGCTACTGCTGCTACTACTACTGCTACTACTACGGCAGCTTAGACGACGAGTTGACTTGCTGCAGGTCGGTTTCTTCTCATCAATGCTTGGCGCAACCTGAGCAAGCACCCAGTGCAGATGCTCAGTGGCAAGCACCCACCCAGATGCCCAGACCCTAACTGAACTACACACGGTCTACATACCTAGAGGCTCCATTGTAGTTCCTGTTTGTGGTTTATATGGGCTCTTGTAACGCAATCCCCAAAAAGGAACTACAATGGAACCCTAAACTCTGAGAACAGCATCAGGAACGATCATCTCGCCACTCGAATGCACTTGGAGGTTGACCGAAGGGATCTCCCTTAAACGACTGATAAAGGCGAAGCGAAAAACCCTAAACCCTACAACTCCAAAGCCTCAACACCCCACATCCCTATTTTTGAGTGTAAACTCCAAAGCCCTGAGCCCAAACGCCTAAAGCCTTACAAAGGCCGTCTGTGATGCTTCCAGCGTCCTGGAAAGTCATCTCCTAGTGAACAACAGTGGCACATCCTCGAGGCGTCCAGCCCTTCTTGTAGGTTTAGGGTTTAGGGTTTGGGGTTTAGGGTTTAGGGTGTTGAAAGGTGGTTTAGGGTTTAGGGTTTGGGGTTTAGGGTTTAGGGTGTTGAAAGGTGGTTTAGGGTTTAGGGTCGCAGTTTTCGGCGTTTTAACAGTTTGAAAATTCGGGTTTGAAGGGGTCAGGAATTTGGGGTTGAAGTTCAAGGGTTTGAAGATGTTGGGGGTTTCGTGTACAAGATACGGAACCACCGACAGGTCAATCTGCCAACTGCCAATGGAGTTGTTTTGAGCATGATACGCAGGAGTACTGCCTTGATAAGGCAATATAGCCCAGAGGGGTCATATACACTACCATTATGGACTTAGGCCCCCCAAAACCATAAAAGGGATGTTCTTTAGTACCTAAAACGCCAGAATGGTAGTGTATATGGACCCTCTGGGATGTATAGCATTTTGAGACCCTGTCGATGATTGTCTGAGCTGGCAGGGGGAAGCGAGAACTGACATCAGAAAACTTTGCGGAGCTGGTCGCTGGACCAACGGCACGGTATGAGGTCGGTTGGGTCTATTATGCCTTCCTTTCTGGGTGAGAGCAATGTTTGATCGTTTTGTGTGCATCACGACCGCGATCCTTCAATTCGAAAGGTGAGTCACCACCACCGTTGGTTTTACTTCCCGGAGTTGCGCCGTCGCCTGAGTCGAGTAGAGCATCCTTGAAGCGAAAGCCTTGAGTGGAGCTCCGAGTGTGAGTTCTTGATGCAAAGGCGACACCGAGCTCCTGATCTTCAAATGCTTCGATTCTGACCCAAAGGCGGCAGCACGTTACGTCCTTCATTCCGAATCTTGACAGGAGGTTAGTGACAATGGACACTATAGTGGTGATGACGATGATGATGAAGTGATGAAATGGTGAAATCGAATCATGACTATTTGTGTCAATTACTATAACTGTTGTTATTATTCTTAAATCACTAGTTGTTATTACTGGGCCTCGCAGCTGCGCACCTTTGCTGAGGCAGTGCGGCTTCCAGGCGATGCCAGACGAGCGCGAGAATCGGTCGAAGTCCGCACAATCGCCCTGTTCAAATCTCCTTTGCTGAGCCTGCATCTTGAATACAGGGACCAACTGCTATACTATTTTTGGGGTTCTTTATTATAAGTATAGCACAATAGGCCCCAAGATCCTGTTCTAATTATTCCCTATTAGCTATTGAGGCCCCTACAGTATATGCACTCTTCGCCTGCGCTGCTCAGCCTGGCGTGGGTAAGCTTTGGCCTTGGTGCTCAAGCGTTCCGGGCGGATCTCCGGATTTTGTCGGTTGCTTTGTGGCTCAAGAGCTCGAGTTGTGATGCTTTAAGGGCTTCCAGCCGTGAAGTAGCTAGTTGGACAGTTGGTTCCTTCCCTTCACGTGAATCGCCGGGTACTTAGTACTTACCCGGCACGTGCGGGCTTGAACAAGGCATGCACTTGTGAGCAAAATGACATCTTGTGCGCTTGCCGAGCTTCTGTTCCATAGATGTGCTTTTCTAGGTTGTCCCGCCTTATGTTGAGAGCGAGAGCGATGGCGAAGTGAGAGTGAGAGTGAGAGAAGGGCCACGCCCAAGAATGTATATCTGAGGGGGGGTACAGCATTTGAAAAAATACATTCCTATCCCCCGGGTTAAACAATTCGTTTTCAAGGCGGGTCTGATATACATTTCTGCCGGTTGCCAGGCATGCTGTACTGAAGCCCGAATGCAGCACAAAGCAAAGTGTGTGTAAAGTGTCAGAACCCGTCACAAGTCCTTCACATGTTGTCATGAAGCAAGATTTTTGATTTGTTCCAGATGGGTTAGTCTAACGGTTAGTCCCACTACTGCCCGGTTCATTCACCGAGGTCCGGGCACACGTAATGTATATTTGGGGGGGTCTGGCTACCAATCCCCCTATTTATATACATTTCAGCCCTGGCTCACTCCCGGGAATGCATAAGGACACCACGAGGATGCTCGCAACAAACACTCAACAAACAGAATACCTCAGAATACTCATAGACGGCTACTGCAGCCCGACTACTGCCCGGCGCATCCACCGAGAACCGGACACACGTAATGTATATTTGGGGGGGTCTGGCTACCAATCCTCCTGTTTTTATACATTTCAGCCTTGGCTGACTTTCAGGAGTACACGAGCATTCCCTGGCAACCTTCCACGACCCCTAGGCATGATCTAGGCACTGTCGCTGGTGACCCCTGTTGCACTCCCACTGGTATGACCGGTTGTGGATGACGATACGGAGAAGACAATAGAACTACTACCAGAAGAGTGCTTGCACACACACGGTCCTGCAAAGCTGCCAGTGCAGCGCCTGTTTTGTTCATGTTCAGCCAGTGTGGAGCCTGTGTTGAGCCAGTGAAGCTTGTGAATACCTCGAAATTAAGCACCCCCCAAACCCTCTCAGTTTATACATTCCCCCCCGGCTGGTTTATCTATATTCGAGGGGGGGCTTGTCAAAACCATTTGGGTGAAGGGGTGTGAGAGACACAGAGACGCAGAGTCAGAAAGTCGGAGAGAAAGAGAAGGGGAGATAGGTAGAGATGTTCGCCTGACCACAGCTGCAGGCAGAGCGGTCTGCAATGGCACCGACGGATTTCCTGGCAGTGAGCAACAGCAGTGGTTTTAGCGTTGATCATATTGCCGTCGAAAGCCTGGCAAGCGATGCGACTTGGCTGACATGCGCCAGTCTATGTTCCTTCCATGCCCGGGTAGCAACACTAAATGTGCTGTGCGGCGGTGGTGCAATTGTCGCTTCAGGTGGCAGCCGCAAATGCCTGGAATCTCAGACTCAGATTCCATGATGCACAGCCTTCAGCACTGTACAGTGGACTGGTCCCTAAGGCTTGGTCTTTCGACTGGCACCTGACCAAGAACCCATGGGAAGGGCTCACATCGTCTTTCTTCATGCGCCGGCCTCGCTTTCTTTTGCCAGCAAGAACACATCCCCAGAGACTCCAATATCCCTTAATCAAGGAATATTCCTTAAGTCATGGTAGGAATTTTGCTATATTTTGAAGTATATTCCTTAGTTTAGGGGTATTGAAGTCTCTGGGTCAGTGTACCCCAAATGTCAGTTTAGGTGAGCCCTAAACCCTAGACCCCTAAACCCGTAAACCCTAAAAACCCTAAACCCTTAAAACCCTAAACCTTAAAGGATCCCTAAACCCCTAAAACCCTAAAGCCTAAATAATCCCTAGGTATGCGTACTGGGGTTCCGAGGATTATGGCGACCGAGCTAGGAGACGAAACCTTCATCATCGCGGCCGTCATGTCCATGAGACACCCCAAATTCACGGCGCCTTGGAGTGCGAGGTTTTTTTTTGGGGGTTTAGGGCCTTGTAGGGTTAAGGGCCTTAGGGTTTAGGGCTTCAAATTCACGGCTCCTTGGGAATTGTTAGGGTTTGTAGGGCCTTTTGGGGTTTTGGGCCTTAGGGGTTTAGGGGGCTTAGGGTGTAGGGCTTAGGGCTTTAGGGCTTTAGGGTTTATAGGGTTTAGGGCTACTCAACCCTAAGCTGTCCACACGTAAGCAATGTGGGTGTCCAGGTCCTTTGTGGAGCGCTTGGAGCACTCTACTTGATGACCGTCCTGTCCGCGTTCTTGGGTGCCTTGGAGGAAGTGCAAGGAAGGATTGGGGTTTCGGGTTTGAGGGTTTCGGGTTTCGGGCTTAGTTTTGGGTTTAGGGTTTAGGGTTTAGGGCTGGTGCAGAAAACTACTGGAGTCGCCAGAGTACCACGAGAGTACTAATTACTAGAGTATGACCAGAGTTCTGCTGGAAAGTTTTACCAAAAATACTCTTAGAGTACTACTACTACTACTACTACTACTACGACGACGACGACTACGACGACTACGACGACGACGACGACGACGACTACTACTACTACGACGACGACTACTACTACTGCTACGACTAGAGTACCGTTGGTTTGGATTAGTTTTTCGTTCTGTAACCTTGCGCCAAGGTGTCGTGCTACCAAATCTTATCTCCCAGGAGAGGGTGACTCAATGCGCAACCGGCCTGCCCGACTACGTTGACACGAAACTGCGCTAGAACGTCTGAAAGATTGAAGTCAACGGTTAAAGATGCTACAACGCCTTAAACCCTAAACTCCGAAACTCTAAACCCTAAACGCCCCTAACGTGCGCCCGACTTGCCAGTCTTGTACACCTTCTTCGGCCTCCGCTTGATGTGGGTCGGCATGCGCGGTGAAGATGACAAGGACATCCGCCTGAGTCTTTTGTACCCGGGGTTTAGGGCCTTTTAAATTTTAGGGTTTAGGGGGGATGGTCTTGTCATCACGGCATCTGGCTTGTCTTGCGGCCCTGTTGTCCGCCAGCCCTAGGTGTGGAACTGAGAGCCCTGGGTCCGAACTGTGTACCATCTCAGGATGAAGAGTTCGAGGAGGCCGGATCACCGTCCGGGCTTCGGGCTTCCGACCTATTATAGGGTTTGGGGCAAACTGTCTGGAAAGTTCATCTGTGACAATGGAAGGCTGAGAGACAGAATCAGGAGAATAGGATTAATAATAGTATTCAACAAGACGCGAGATGACCGTCGTGGAAGCCAAAGCGGGCCATTCCGTAACGTGCCCCTGCAACACGAAGAAAAACAGCATCGGCCAACAGCACAAAGATCAAATCCTAGTATAGGGGCCTAAATAACTCAGTTACCGATACTATTTTTGTTGTTTTTTTTTGGGGGGGATCCTTAGTACAATCATAGTATAATGGGCCCCAAAATAATACGCGAGGTACCATACTTTGGGCTGTTCAGACTGAGGATCTTACTATTTTGGGTACTATATTAGAGTCCCCTGTTTTCGGAAATTCCCATACAGCAATACCAGTCATGATGGTGACAGTCATCACCAGAACCATCGTCAGGGCAGGTTGCCACTTCAAGAGCAAGAGCCATCCTGGAACATAGGCCAGTCCTAAGTATCATACAGGCGTCATATAGGCATATCAGTGAAGATGGGAAGAGCAAGATTGTAGCCATAGCGAGTGCGACTACAGCAAGACGCACATGAAGTAGGAACAGTGCGACAGTTGTCATACCATACCAGTCATGGCTACAGTAGATGTCGCCTCATACGCAAACGAACATCCGTGCGATCCCTGAACCCAAAACCCTTAAACGCTAAACCCTAGGCCCATTCTTCCTTGATACTCCCAGGAACCGAAACCCTGAATTCGCAATTCACAAGCCTGGGATCTCAACGGAATATCTTGCTTGGTTACTGCGATGACAAGTAGGACGTCAGGGTGTAGGGTTTAGAGTTTTGGGCTTTAGGGAACCTTTCTCAATGGAAGCTTTAGAGAACCTTCGACATCCCCAGCAGCCTTCTCGACCATGAATAGAAGCCTGGTTGAACCTAGAACCCTTGTGGAACAACCCGAAAGACGCCTTGTAGAACCCCAGTAGAACCTGCAATATGCCTGAAAGTGCCCTTTCAGAGGTTGCAACCCTTGTAGAAGCTTCCAATTGTGAAACCTTTCAGGAGCTTTGCAGGAGCCTAACAGAACCTTGATAGGAGAACCCTAACGCAACCCTAGTAGAAGCCTATTTTTTAAAACCCCGATAGAACCTTTAAAAGAACTCCCTTCGGCCCCCCGATGGCAGCCTTCGAACAGCCTTAATCCCCGAACCCTGAACCCTAAACCCTGAACCCCTAAGCCCCAAACCATCCCGAACTCACATCCCAAACCTTACCTTTGGTTAGTAGGGAATGGAAGAATGGGGTCTATAAGGGTTACTATAAGGGATCTATAAGGGTACTGTAATATAGGGGCCTTAGTAATCCTATACCTTACCCTTGGTTAGTAGGGAATGGAAGAATGGTAGTAATAGTAGTTGTAATTGTACCCCATTCCTCCATTCCCTACTAACCAAAGGCAAGAAACCTCCTGGCAGGTCGAGAACACCTTGAAGGATTCGGCCTCGAAAGGGCAGAAGTCCTGGCTTCGCCGCATGTTTTCCCAGTTTTGCACGCCCGTCTTCCTGGAGGCGCGACTCGGGCTTTGGGGATGCCAAAATGACTTTTGTTTGTCTCTCTCTCTCTCTCTCTCTATCTCTCTCTCTCTCTCTCTCTCTCTCTCTCTCTCTCTCTCTCTCTCTCTCTCTCTCTCTCTCTCTCTCTCTCTCTCTCTCTCTCTCTCTGTCTCTTTCAATCTCTCTGTATCTATTATACTTACACACATAGGCATCTATGGTATAATGCAGAATAAAACAATATAAAATCCGTCTATATATGTATACATATATATACATACATATATATATATATACATATATATATATATATATGTAGCTTCAGGGTTTGGCAATATGTGTTACGATTTGGGGGTTTCGGATGGTTGGGGGGTCATGAACTAGGTGTTTCGGGTTTAAGGGTTTAAGATTGGAACTTGCGTCTTGGGCGGTACTGGAGCTTTCGGGCTTAGGGACTGTAGGGGCTTTCGGATTTCAGAGACTTCAGGGCTTTCGGGAGGCAGGTTTGGGGTTTAGGGTTTAGGGTTTAGGGTTCAGGGTTTAGGGTTTAGGGTTTAGGGTTTAGGGTTTAGGGGTTGATGATTTTGATGAACTATGTCGGTTTGTTGTTGTTCAGAAACTCTTGTCAACACACTGTGCAGTGAGACTTGTTCGGCGTCCCTGTCCGAGGATGCTCTAAAACAGCGATAACCAGCATTGCGTTGCAACGGTTCTTCTTACGCATACGCTTACAGAGTCCCATGTGACTCTTGCTTCTTATCGTAGGGATGGTGGCGACGCAGATGGTGAATACGCCATTAACGATGATGAATTAAGAAGATTGATTATGATGACGAAGATGATGGTGGCGAGGATGCGATGGCAAAGACGACGATGAGGTCTTCATTGAGCTGTTGTTGCTAAAGTTTCGTGCTAACTCAACATGAAGGGATGATTGACATGATAGTCAACATCATTGTCTGCACAACTGCTTGGTGTGCCCGCGCCCTTTCAGCTGCCGTCTACTTACTTTGGATTCTGGTGGGGTCTTAAAGCCTCCAACCCAGGCGCTGATGCTGACCTTCCTTGCGGAATGGGGGGACAGATCCCAAATTGCAACGATCTCTCTCGCGGTGCGGGGCCCCAGAGACGTTTGAGCTTTTTGTCTTCGGGTTGCATGGTGATTTTGGCCCTGTGTTGAACGTCCTTGCATCGCATATTACGGGATCGACCGTCGAAGCGTGGCGCGTGGGGGGCTGTGGTTAAGACGCTGAAAGCGGCGGTGCAGGCGCACCAGAATCCGATAGCCGTCATCGTGGGCGCCATGGTGGGGCACACGATTTGCACTGGTGCAGCACTCAGATCTCAGAACCTCGTAAGTGCCCTTCCTTGGCCGAGGCTCGGGTGTCTGTGAGGCACCCCGAAACGTTAGTCTAATGCAGCCGATTAAAGACTCGAAAGAACGATGATGGTTCGAGATTTCGGGTCCTGAGCACCGACAGGTGGGATGTAAGCATTACAGGACCCCAAGCAGCATCGTCAGCACCAGGAGACGTGACGCAGCACTGGCAGCTAGTGATCATGAGGACTGCGATGCACGAGTGAACCAGGAGTCGCTGCCGGAATACAGACCCGACTGTGTGCGTGTCCTGATCTGTGATCATTCCCTTTGTGGGCGAATCACGCGCTGCATGTGCTGCCAACTGCCGCTTTAAATGTGTGTGATTGCAGCATGCTTTAAAGTCGATGCACTGCAAGCAGCGCAGCGAGGTCTGGCAGTGTTTGGAGGTGAATTCCTGGGCCCTGGGCTCAATCGGTTCCTCTCCCTCTTACGGCCGCGAGCGTCATCTTTGTGGCCAGCAATGCAGACCAAGGCAAGCGCATTCCACAGCGATATGTGGCTTTCGGCGGAGGGTGGCAGCCCGAGCATGGAGTTCGTCGTCATGATCATCAGCAACAGCAGCACCAGTATCATTATCATCATCACCATCATCATCACCATCACCGTCATCATCATCATAATCAGCATCATTATCATCATCATCACCACATCAATCCTTCGCGCGCGGACACAAGCACACATACATGCCAAATTCAGCGTGTCATTACAATCCCCACCGCAAAGGCCGCTAATGGGAGATCTGCGGGTGCAACACCCGGCACTGTTCTACACTTTTACCGAAGATTAGTAGTAAAGTAGGTAACCTTTAACCTTTTTTGGCTAGTATAGTCCCAATACTTATAATCCCTATATACCCAAAAACGTTAACCTTTAGTTCCCCATTATTCCGAACAGCTCCAGACGTCTTAGAGCCTAGCTCGTCTTACCCAGACTCTGGCTCCTCGTCGCATCAAACCCAAAACGAAATTAAGGCTTTTTGCAAATCCAAAGATAAAGGGAGGGAGTGAGTAAGGACCCCACTGGGTATAGAACCTTAAGATAGCTATTATACCCATTATATAGCCCGTTACAGGGTGGGGGATCCCCATTAAGGGTCCCTCCTTTTTGGCCCTTTGAGCCAAGGTGCCTCTTCATTGTCTTCGCCCTGCTGAATCTGATGGGGGTCGGGCTCCTGTGCGGACGGGTGGAAGATTGGGCTTCTGGAGGTTCTGGGTCATGGGCTTGTTGTGGCCAGTGTCAGTGCGTGAGTGAGTGAGTGAGTGAGTGTTTGTGTCTGTGAGTGTGTTGGATATGTATATATATACACACACATATACAATATACATGCATGGTGTATAGTTGTCATAATTACATACAGACATACATTCACACATGTAGATAGATAGATAGATAGTTTACAAGCCCGTTGTAGAGCTGAGCTTTTTTGCAGTCTCCCTGGCTGCATCCCAGGTGCTGCAGTAAGAACACCTGAACATGCAGGACAAGTGAGTGTGCCAGACGAACCTTCTAGCTGCCTCGTCACATGAAGTTGTATGTGGCAGACTTGCCAAGCTACAGCCCCAGATTCGCGAAGAATAGCTAGTTGTTGAGCCCCTGCTCAACTGCTTTGGGGCAACAACTCACATCTCTCTTGCCGGGCAAGAGTTGGCGAAGCTTGGTCCAGTCATACGCTTTTTCCTGCCCTGGTCGCGCCTCTCACAGCGGCCAGGAGCCTGTGTTTCACCCCGGGCCACGTGCCTTCTTCCCTTCATCCTCCACCTTGCACGGGCTTGCCGTGCTCTGGGCCGTGTGTTGTTGTCGTCAGGATCATGCCAGGGCTCAGCACAAGAAAGGTTATGTCAATGAGAACTGGAGCCTGAACAGAGGGATCAAGGGGACAAGGCGCCACGAAGCCGATGCATGCGATCTCGCAGTGCCATTCTGCCAACCGGCATGGCCTAATGCGAAGCAACAGATTGAGACGAGACCGACGCTTGAAAAGTCAGTCGACAGCACACGACAGAACTGTGGTAGCACTAGCACGACTAAAGTAGACAGTAACGGGACTAAAGCGAAGCAAAAGCAGGGAGAAGCAGCAGGAGGAGCCGGAGTCTTAGTTGTGGTTGTAGCCCCTTTTCGAGTCCCTGTCCTCGTTCTCCTCGTCGCCGATGTCGGGTAGTAATCAATACTTGGAAGTTCATGGGTAGTTTTAAGTGGGGTTATAAGTCCCCTAAGTGGAGTTATAATTGTAGTTATCCTACTTATAGCCCTGCTTATAACTACCCATGAACCTCCAAGTAGTACTGCTGCCGCAAGCATTTCCACGAATATGACGGTGAACTCGATGGTGCCTGCGTCATTCTCACGACAACTACCACGAATACTACCTCCATCACTCTCTAAAGTGCATCCCAGGTCCTAGATGTTGAGATGGCCCTAGTTCCAATTCCGCTCCTGCTGCTGAGGGTGTTTCGATACAGGTGAGGGCGATGTGCTGCTAAACCTATAGGGGCCTTAGTAATTAGTATATTATATACTATAGTTAGAATGAGGAACCCCCAAAATACGATAGGTAATTATTAAGGCCCCTTTCTTACTCTTGTGACAGAGCTGCTCCTGCTCAGTTCAGCCTCGACGTAGACCAAGCCTGGCAAGCTCAGATTGCATTGATTTCTTAAGCTTTGGGGTTTAGGGCGCTCATGAGATATGGAGACATCTTGTAAGAGCCAGAAGAGGGGAATCTCGCGGTGGAAGAGCATCAAACCCTAAACCCTAAACCCTAAACCCTAAACCCCTAAACCCCTAAACCCTAAACCCTAAACCCTAAACCGATCAGCTTTTGCTCATGAAGTGTGGGATGGCAGCTCACTGAGCATGCCATGGGTTGTGGCCCGCATCTCAGCATTTAGGGATCCACTTTGTTCCATCTGAAACCGCAAAGCCGGACAGTTTAAAGCCAAAGCCCAGACCCTAGCGAATTGAACCCAAACTCAGCCTCAACTAAACCTGAACCCTGAACAACCCTAAACCCTAGACCCAAACCCAAATCCCAAACAGTTGCCAGAGCTGCTGTGAAGGCCGTGGGTCCTTGCAGCAGCGAGTGTCGGAACCTGCCCTGACCTCCAGCGGGGGTCTCAGCTGCGCCGTTCTCATCGGCTTCGCCTATAAGGGTTCCTATAGGGTTGCTACAAGGGTACTATAAAGGTACTAGAAGGGTTTGGCTTTTTTGGATATAGGCTTTGGGTTCAGGGTCGTTTGTCTAGTGGGTTCAGGGTTGATAAATATCTGTTCAGACTACTGCGACCACTCCGACACGTAGCAAAAAGGCTTTCCACGAAGCTACCTGCAGCAATGCGAAGCACTGTAAAAGTGCTGCCAATAATGGGACGAGCACGTGTATAAGAGCCTGAGCAGTTAGTCATAGCATTTCTGTTCGTCTCGTCCCTGTGCAACTTTACTACAACCTACCCATATATGTATATATCTTTATATATATATATATGTATATATACACATATGCACGCGAGTGTATATGTATATCTTTATGCATGTGTACATTGATACATCGGTGTGTATATATATATATATATATATATATATATATATACGTATATGTATGCCGATATCTGTATCTCTTCCTATAACTATATTGCATCTACATGTATACCTGTATGTCTGTGCCTACAGCTATTTCTACATCTGTCGCTGTCCCTGTGTCCAGATCTATATATGCATCTGAATCGGTATTCTGTATACCTATGCCAATATCTTTACCTATTTACATGTATACATGTAGACATGTAGATGTATTTGGATGATGTGGATATCCAGGCACTGCAGAAGTGTGCGTGTGTATATATATATATATATATACACATAAATATAGATATGTATGTAAGACCGTATGCACATACCGCGCAACCATGTTAAGGCCTCTGCATTTGTCATGGGCCTAAGGCAGCGCGCTGGATCCTTCTGACATCCAGGCCCCACGGCTGGTCTTTGAAGCCCAAGGGAGTGGCGTTGACGGGCTCTTGGCTTTCAAGGGAACTATGGGGGATCTATACTATAGTGGGGATCTACAAAGGTTCTAGTAGGTATCAGGCTTCAGGCCTGGGGATCATGGTTCAGGGGTCATAGGTCTTCAGTGCGCACCATCTTTGTTGTCATGCCACACACGCTGGATAGCTTCTCAACGGGAGTCACAGCGATGCAGGGTGCGCATCAAGCCATGATGGTAAAAGAGGCATAGGGCCAAAACTTGCGACATTCCTGCAATCTTAACAGGCGTTCTTTCCGTACAGTGAGTGGTATGCGTCAAGTCAAAAAGTTGTAGCAGTCGCCGTCGTAGTAGTAGTACTACTAGTAGTCGTCGTTGTCGTAGGTAGTAGTAGCCGTCGTCGTCGCCGTCGGTAGGAGTAGTAGTAGTAGTAGTAGTAGTAGTAGTAGTAGTAGTAGTAGTAGTAGTAGTAGTAGTAGTAGTAGTAGTAGTAGTAGTAGTAATAGTAGTAGTAGTAGTAGTAGTAGTAGTAGTTGTAGTAGTAGTAGTAGCAGCAGCAGCAGCAGTAGTAGTAGTTAGTGGTAGTTGGTGGTGGTACTAGTAGCAGGAGTAGAAGTAGGAGTAGGCGTAGGAGTCGGATTAGGAGGAGTAGGAGTAGGAGTACGAGTAGGAGTAGGAGTAGGAGCCATAGTAGAAGTTGTAGAAGAACTGCTAGTAGTAGTAGTAGTAGTAGTAGTAGTAGTAGTAGTAGTAGTAGTAGTAGTAGTAGTAGCAGTACTAGTACTAGTACTAGTACTAGTACTAGTACTAGTACTAGTAGTACTAGTAGTAGTAGTTAGTAGGCAACCCGTGTGTCCCGAGCAGGTGCTACACCTGGCCAATGTTGCCGAGGGCAAGGCATTGGGATGCCCAAGGTGTTTCGACAAATTGCCAATATTATTCCTTGGAGTTTCTTTTTATAATCAGGCTATAATTACCACCGAGACCCTATTCAAATCATTAAGGCCCCTATATTTGTTGAGCTGGCCAGCTTAAAGCTTGAATGCGTGTTGCTGCGATAGTCAACGCCGGAGTAGAACGAAGAATCCGTACATCCTGTTTCAATCAGTACCAACTCCGACGGCGGTGGTCCAACGAAAGCACGGCTTCCTGAATGCTTGTGTTCGCAATGTGGCACCGATGTGGCGCAGGCACGACGTAGCAGCAAGCAACCAGCTTTGGCAGGACCGGGAAGAGGGGATAAGGTTAATACCAAGAAGTAGCAATAAGTGCAATATGTGATAGTAGAGTAGCAGGCGTGATCATAATTTTGGACGTGACAGTAGCCTCAGCCGTAGCCTGTAGTAAGGAGGGCAACAACTGTAATATGAATAGGCATTCGCCAGCTGCAGAGGTTTTTGGATAATTGTAGCGAGTTTGGAAAACCTGCTGATGCGAACAGGGAGCCTTAAGAGGGCGTGCTTGGAATAGCGACCACATTCACACGGACTGGCAGGCGTATGCCAATACAGCCGACCAATGTGTTGTGCACAGAGTGCAGCTGTTCAGGCGGCTTACCCTGTTCTGTCGAATGTGCAGGACCTGTCTTAGTGGACGATCCGAAAGCGCAGGGATCTCAGCTTGCCCAGTCACAGCTGGAGGAAATTTGGTGCATGGCTTGCAAGCGGACGAGTGACCTGAGGAACCAACCCCGAGGCCCTAAACCTTAGATCATAAGCCATGAATCCCAAACCCTAAACCCCATCACCCTTAACCCTAAATCCCATACCATAAACCCAGAACCCCAAGCCTCAATCCTTAAACTCAACCTAAGGAAAGAAGCAGGGCGTCCACCGCCGACGGTGTACCAGCCCGAGGTGAAGCCTCGAGTGGATTGCGGCTTCCTCGGCCCAGACTTCTTGAAACCCACCGGTTAACAAGACTTACAGTAGTCATAGTAGCGATAGTAATAGTAAGAACAATAATAACAATAGTTATAATATTTATATTTACATTGATACTCATAAGCCCACCCTTTCTTACGGCCGTCAGAGTAGGATTTCTAGCATCAAACTCATATACAGGAGGGAGTGACTTATCAAGTTCTTGAAAACATCTGTTATAGGTTTCAAACAAGGAACGTATGGAGGTTGCTCAGGATGTCTATAACATACAGGCTTTTTCAATAGGATTTTCGAATTATGGCTTTAATACTCGTATCCCTACTTCACTCCTTTTGAATGGAGGGGTGGGTTTATCTGTGAAGGGGCTCCTACCGCATATCGATGTGGTAGTAGACATCCCGAACCTCCGAACCCTAATTCCCCCAAATCCTCAACTCCAATATAGGGGCCTAGATGATGACCAATATTATTTTGGGGTTCCTGATGATAATTACAGTATAATGGGCCCCGAAATCCTATTCTGATTATTAAGGTCCCTATATTACACCCCCAAGCCTTGCAGCTGCGTAGTGGGATAAAGGGGCTTAGTATTCATAAGTAGGGTATCAAGATCCTTATTGGGATTGGGCGGTTAGTAACACTTGTCTTGAAGTCCTAGACCCTTGACCTTGAATCCTAAACCCCTGAGCCCTATAAACCCTTTGCCCTAAGGCACCCTAAACCCCGAGCCCTGAAACTCTGACTCACGAAACCCTAAATCGTAAGCCTTGAAACCCAGGATGCTCTAATCCCCATACCCTGAACCTAAACCCTAAACTCCTGAAACCTGACAACCGCGGAGAGCACTATCGAGGACCTGAAAACCTATATAAACCCTAAACCCAACTTGAAAAAGAAGAACCTAAACCCAAGACCTGAAACCCTAAACCCTGAACTCCAGACCTCCGTCGACGGTCCTCGTGGCTTCCGAGGCTGGCGGCCAGGGGAAGCGGGGCGCCGCGCTTCCCAGCAAGGCGCAGGGACCAAAACTACGGTGTTTGAGTTTAGGGGAACGACAGCACCAGCGCCAGCAGCACCACCACCAACAACAAGAAGAACAACAAAAGCAACAACAACGACAACGACAACAGCAACGAAAAACCACAACGGCAAAGATGATGATAGCACCAGCAGCAACAGCAGCAACAGCAGCAGAACACCGTTAGCAACAGCAACGACGACACCATGAGCAACAACGGCAGCGCCAACAGCAACAGAAACCACATCACGACGACAACTAGTGACACTAGTTACATGTAACTTGATAGGTCTAATGTGCACTGCTGAGTGCTTGGCATAGTCGCATATAACCATCGCAAGCGTTTTACGTGACCTCACCTGCGTATGTTCCGGCTTGCCGCCTCAATGTCGCAGGCAAAGATCTACCGGCCGATGCTGTTGCAAAGCCAGAGGCATCGATCCAGTCCTGGACACCTCAAAAAGCGTCGAATCCTGAAGCCTAAACCCTAAACCCTAAACCCTGTAAACCCTTAAAGCCTTAAACCCTAAAGCTCACTAGTTTAAGCCTTTTCCGGCTGCAGGAACGAAGCCGCAGAACCTCTCAACTCCGCACCCCCGAAGCCGCTGGAGCCTCAACTAGGGCCCTAGCAGGTGGACTATTTGTAGGTAGTATAGGGAGACCCCTTAAAGAGGACCTTGTTATTGAGAGGGTCTATATACCCAAGCTTTTCTCCTGCTTTATCCACGGCAGTTTTTTTTTGAAATTAGGTTTGTCTTTCATGAGCTGGGGGTAAGTCGAGCGTTTCCGGATCTATTTAGCCCAAGCCGGACTGCTCGAAAGCAGAGTTGTTTTTCGTGAGTTCAGGGTAATCGGAGGCATCCCGGCTCTGTTTCAGGATTTAGTGTTCAGAGCTTCAACAGATGGCTTGGCTTCAACTTCAAAGACACATCTCTAGCCGAGCTTGTTTATGTCAAAAAGCTGCACACTGGTTCCAACGCGCTACAACATCCACTAAACCCTTCAATACTTAGCTCAATATCAGACCCCAAACCCTGCAACATGCCCTGAATGCCCTAACAACTCGCAACAATCCAAAGCCCTCCTTGGACTTAACCCCGCCCCCAAGACCCTGAAAAACCCGAAGCCCTCAAACTGTAAAATTCGAAAGCTAAAATGCGAAACCCTGCAGCCCTACAGTCCTAAAGCCCTAGAATTCTTCAATTTCTAAAACCTTCAAGAATCCTCAAACCCTAAATGCCCCAAACCCTACAGTCCTAAAGCCCTAGAAGTCTTCAAAACCTTCAAGAAACCCTCTAAACCCTAAAATCCTGTCAACTCAACTAAAAAAGATCCTCAAAACCGAAACGACTTGACAGCGAGAAGCTTCCCAGGCGCCGGCTCCTCGGTCTGGAACCAGGTCGGGAGTTGATGATCTAGGGTTTAGGGTTTAGGGTCGAGGGTTTAGGGTTTAGGGTCTAGGGTTTAGGGTTCAGGGCAGGGCTTAGTTGTAGGGTCGGGGGACTGTGTAACTGGTTATTTTAGGGACTTATTAGTACCATAAACCCAATTTGGGTCCCTTTCCCTAAGGGTCCAAGTGTCCAAATTGTAGGGTTTCAAGGTCCAAAAACCATTCAGAGTATGGATTTTGGGACCTCAAACCCTACTATTTGGGTACTTGGACCCTCTGGGTGTTAGGGTACTTATAAGTCTACTTACTCCATAGGGTACTTAGAAATAGTTTTTAGTTTTTGGTTATTATAATCCCTAAGACACAGCTAAAATTAAAAGTTTTGCTAGGGTTCTAAGTTCAGTATAGTTACCGGGTTCAGGACTTTAGGCCTTTTTGGGCTTTATAGGGGTTTAGGCCTTCAGGGGTTTAGGACTTTAGGGCTTTAGGGGTTTAGGCTTTCAGGGGTTAAAGGGTTTAGGGTAGGGTTTTAGGGGCTCAGGATTTCGGGCTTAGGGCTCCTTGATATTATGGTTTCCGCTTATAAGTCCTTAAGGCATGTACGTTATCCAGGGCCCAGGTAGGGTTCAAGGCTTACGTGACTCTGTTTGAGGCGTCGAGTCTTGCAGATGTTCACTGAGCTACCACAACCAACCGGTTGAGGTTTAGGGCTTGGGCTTAGGTCCGGATATGCAAAGGGTTTATCCTGTTATAAGTCCTCAAAAACAAAGGTAATTCAGGTACCAGGTAGGGTTCAAGGCACCAATTTGAGGTGTGTCTTGCAGATGTAAACTGAGCTACCACAACCAACCTGTTAAGGTTTAGGGTTTAGATCCTGATATGCACCCTGACACAATGTAGAAGCTGCTTATCGGCACCTTACAAGCAGGTGGTGCAGTTCCTGATGGGACTTGGCAAACTTACGATCTCGGTCGGCGGTCGTGTACGGTCGTGAAGTGATGCACTGCACGCACGAGCGGATCGCTGAAGCGACTCATATTAAGACCCCGTACCGTCGAAGGCCGGAGCCCCAACGGCGAGCCGAGTCCGCGCCGCCGGGGGCACCTGCAGCGGCCGTGGCGCCGCGGAAAGCCGCGCCTTCCACGCCGACTGCGAGGTTAGTGTTTAGGTGTTCAGGGATGGGGGTGTTGGGTTTAGGGTTTAGGGGCTTAAGTGTTTAGGGATTAGGGTTTAGGGGTTTGGGGAGTTAGGGGTTTAGGGTTTCGGGATACTTTCGGATTTGGGCCTTGTTGGGATCCTAAAAAGGAGTAGAAATGTACGAGTAGGAGGAGGAGGAGGAGGAGGAGTAGCAGTAGGAGTAGCAGTAGCAGTAGCAGTAGCAGTAGCAGTAGCAGTGGCAGTAGCAGTAGCAGTAGCAGTAGCAGTAGCAGTAGCAGTAGTAGTAGTAGTAGTAGTAGTAGTAGTAGTAGTAGTAGTAGTAGTAGTAGTAGTAGTAGTAGTAGTGGTAGTGGTAGTGGTAGTGTTAGTGGTAGTAGTAGTAGTAGTAGTAGTAGTCGTAGTAGTAAAAGGAGTAGTAGTGGTGGTGGTAGTAGTAGAAGTAGTCGTTGTAGTCGTCGTCGTCGTAGTGGTAGTGGTAGTGGTAGTAGTGGTAGTAGTGGTAGTAGTGGTAGTAGTGGTAGTAGTGGTAGTAGTGGTAGTAGTAGTAGTAGTAGTAGTAGTAGTAGTAGCAGTAGCAGTAGCAGTAGCAGTAGCAGTAGCAGTAGCAGTAGCAGTAGCAGTACCAGGAGGAGGAGGAGGAGGAAGTAGTAAGTGGTAAGTGGTAAGTAGCAAGTCGCAAGTAGTACGTAGTAAAAGTGAAGCAGTGATAGGAGAAGGGGTGTTGGTAGCAATGACCTTGAAGATGGTAAAATGAGATGGGTACAGCGCAAAAAAAGTTTAGGAGGCTCGCAGAGTGGGAATGCTGATGTTAATGTTGTGGCTGCCACGCAAGCTGCACACGTGGTGCATGGTGTCGATGTATGCTTCAGAGTGTAAGCGAGCAACACTTGATGTCTTTCTTCCGTAAAGTATTCGGCTATCATCTGCTCCCAAACCTATACTTACGTAACCCGAAAGTACGAATGGTGCTGGGCTACACCAGATGAGTACGTTTCTCTGGCTACTGTGGTACTAGCCGCAAAAGTGATCATGTCAGTCATGCTACTAGGCGACAAGTCGTTCCAGCCAAGGCGATAAGAAACACCCGATATTTTGTCAGTGAATTCCAGCATGAATTATCGAACACTGCTGAAGCAGTCGCGAGGCGAACAAAACTCAGGAAGTAAGCAGTACTGTCTTGTGCGACTTACCAGTGTTACTGAAAAACCTAGCAGTTCCGGATAGGAAGTTCGAAGCAGCCAGGGCCTCGAGGAGTCATTATCCGTCATAGCACGAACATGGGATGCGGCAGCGGGTTCGTCGTTCTGCCAGGCTGCTTGTTGATTTATGTTGCAATTACGATGTCTTCATGTCGTTAAAGAATTGCGCTGCGGTATAGTGCCCATTGTTCATCGTCGAAGGCAGCAAGTATTGCATGCCCATGTATGCCCATCATGCTTGCTTGCGTTTCTGCTGCCTTTTTGGGAGTTGTTGTCGCCTTGCCTGGAAATCTTGGCTGAGCCAACCCAAGCGGAGGCTGCACCGTGCCAAGCAAGAATACCTCAAGCCTTATGGGGAATTACCTCCAAAATCATACGTCTCTTCAGCAAAGAGCGAATTTGGCAAGCCGTTCTTTAGATCTTCCACCGACGCCTGTCGAGCTTTGAGAGACACTTTAACGGACCACGGCCCAAACCGATGAGAGCGATGGGCTTTCTGCAGAATTTGGAGTGGGGCAGGCTGTGGGTCGGCGGCAAGCAGTGCTTTTTTCGGGCTCGGCCAGGCCCTCGTGGCGTGGTGCTGGAGCCACACCCATGCCAAAGAAGGATCTCGGACAGAGCTTGGTTGCTAGATCAGATCCTCACAGCACTCGGTCGGCACTTAACGTCTGAAAGAGCGCTGTGTGAGTACAGTATGTGAGCTTTGACGATCGTCTTTCTGAAGGAGCCTGCCCGAAGGACCTCTGCGAAGGGCAAGGGCAAGGCATGTTTTGTAGCGCATGCACGTTGGTACACAACTGTTTGTTTGAGATAGAGAGGGAGAGAAAGAGAGATAAACTGTCTAGCAGAGAGAGAATGCGTGGCATAGCATCCAAGCTCCCGTTTTGCCACGCAGCTGTCTTACAGGGGAAACCTGAGCCAAAGCCCAAGCCCTTTACCCTCAAACCCTTTCAACCGTGAAGCCCCTTGAACCCGTGGCCGGGTGTGCTTTTGCCTATGTATTCAGTTCTCGGGATCTTTTCAATAGTCTACATTGCCAGCCTGTAATTGCATGAGCAGTAGCTCAGAAGAGTAAGGTTCCAAGATGGATCGAGTTCAGCAAAGTATGAGACTGAGAAGCGGTCCTGTCTGACATGGCGCAGGATAGATCGCTAGCACATACATACACATGTATATATATATATATATACCAGCTTCTCACCCGTGGCCCTGCGTATACATGGCATGCGCAACACTGATCGGCAGTGAGCCGGCATCAGCTACGCTGGATGAATGCTGCTTCATTCTCAGTGGACCATATAGGTATACGGAATCTTATGACAACGCCCATGATCTGCGGTTTAGCTTCTCCCACACCAGGTTTGTCTCCAGCTGCTTGCCCAAGCCTGTGGTGCCCCTTTTGCAAGGGAGCTTCTGCTTGTGTCCAGGATGCTCCAAGACTTTTACCCAGTCTGGTGAAGGCGCCACCGTCGTGGTCGTCCTCGCGGTTGTGCCCTTCTGGTCGAACTCCCATGGATCCTGGGCCCCTGGCCTCAAAGAGCGCGGGCCGAGGTTTGTGTTGCTGAGGATGCTGCTGACGTAAGGAGTACGTGTGGGATGATACCGAGAACTTCGGGGAGGCGGTGCGCGGCCGCCTTCATTGGCAGGGGCCTCAAAGGCTGCAGTGAGCTGCAGTGGGATGGCGGAGGGTTTATTAGGTACGAGGTGGCCTCAGTGTTTTCGGAGGTCCTGGGAAAATGTGGCCTGGTGGCATCGGGCATCGCCCCTGGCCGTTTCAACAGGGCAAGGTACAGACATTCATTATGGGACGGATGGGAGTGACAGGCCAATGTACTTCGGGTCTACGAACCCGTTGCCTTCGCACTCAAAGCCCGCCGCCCAGCCTGAGCCTACATGGTTTCAATAGTACTAATTACTAATCGTACTTATCGTAATAATCGAAAGAGTCTTAATCCCAGTAGCAATAGTAGCAATCGTAATAACAGTGGTAATAGTAGTAAGTAGTAACTAGCGATGATCTGGTTTTATGCGATCTAGGGGTCGGGGGTTTTAGCTATCGGACGGGTTTAGCTTCAGTGACGGCTCAGGGGGAAATCTCTCGCCAAGCATGGTGGCTACAGGCCAGTGCGTCGGATCTCCTGGGGGACCTGCAGCCGAACAACCTCCATAGGCTGGCAGCTGGCACATGGGAGTTTCCGAAAATAGGGGACCCTAATATAGTACCCTAAATAGTAGGATCCTTATTCTAAGGACCCCAAAATACGTGAGGTTCCTTTTTGAAAGTCTAAGGCATCAGGCTTTGTGCGACTGACTATTGCGGTATTGTCCGTGCTATTCTCGCAGTGATGTATTATTGCTGCAGCTTGATGTGACCACCGTGTATATGTCAGCTTGATCTTCCCTGTAGCGTTTTCTGCAGGACAGGCTGGCCATGACTTGGTTGTGTCTTTCTTACAAGCGGAGAAGTTGTAGCTCTTGCTGAGGTGCATATGTGCTCCTATACGGCAGCAAGTAATATATAATACATATACACGCTTGAAGTAATTGTGCTTTCTGCAGCAACACATAATATCAGTACCTGAAAGCGCATGACATCAGTCAGTCGTACTTTGAGAACGTTCTCTCATGCAGTGCAGTCTACTCCTGTGCAGCTTCGCATGCTGTTCTGTTGTAGCATCCAGTGGCATTTTGTAGTCCGTAGTAGACAGAAGAGTATCAGATCGTTTCTCTCGTCTTGAGTTGGTTGACCAGGACCTCGCATGGGCTCTGCCGTTCCGAACAGGCTTTCCCTGCTGTCCCACGCGATCACTGCAGTGACAGCTTTTGTGGGCAGCCCTGAGCTCAGCTTGTGCAGTCCCGAGCTTTGCAATGCAATGTAATGGCCTCTACAGTTGGATAAAGGTGTCGGGGTATATGATATACCACACTAAGCATATATTCATATATCGTGCAGCTCTATAATATTCTTACCGAATATTCAGGGCCCCCTATATCACTTAGACATAGCTCTATAATATTCTTACCAAATATTAAGGGCCCCCTAAACCCTAAACACTTAGGCATGACTAGTTTCCCTGTCAGGCTCGATGCTGCTCCGATTCCACCATCAGGCCACGAGTTGCAAGCTGAATCATAAATTGCAACATCCCTTAATTAAGGAATGTACATTAACTTATAGTAGGATCCCTAATATGATTTAAGGTATATTCCTTAATTCAGGGATATTGGAGTCTCTGGGTTAATAAAGGGGCCTTTAAAATTACCAAGACTCTTTTGGGTGTTCCTTATTATGATCATAGTACAATTGGCCCCAAACCCCATTCGAATCATTAAGGCCCCTATATACCATTCGAGCATGTGCAGCGGCATGTCAGGTTGACTCTTCGACACTTCGTTGGCAAACGGCCTGCTGCGAAGCTGGCTTGTGCTGCGACAGTTCCTACATGCGCAGTAAGAGGTGCATAAACTCGACAGGCGTCTTTGGTACTGCGGTCTTTGCAGTTCACCCACTTTGCGTTCAAGCTGTGTGCCATGAGCTCAAGCACTTTTCTGTATTCGGTCGGCCCTTGGTCCCCTTTCCCAAAGGGTCCAAGTACCATTATAGTAAGTACTTAGTAGGTATTTAGGCCCCGAAGTAGATACTATACTAGTACTTGGACCCTTTGGGTTTGTTCACGATTGAGTGCATGCGCACGCCCTTTCTGAGGTTGGTCGTCTTGCCTTCCCTACCTGTGGGCAACGTCGCTGTGCGGTGCCCGGCCCTGCGAATCCCCTCAGTCGCCATAACAAAAGACGCTCAAGACGTTCTGCCATCATCCGAGCGCATGTCCCGGATTCTGGTTATTAGGCCCTATATAAAAGTACCCTTATTGTAACCCTGAACCTTCCGGCTGGCTCTGAGGTCGTGGCTGTCTGTTGCATCTTATGTGAGCTGTGCCTGGAGCTTGCAACGAGTCGCTTTCAATGGTTCCAGACCACTCCATGCCGCGCTACAGGTCTGGCGGCTGCATCACCACCCGCAGCAGTACATGCTATCGACCGTGGTGCTTGCCTTCATGCCAGCGGCTCACATGGAGTTGTTGAATAACTTTAAAGATTCCTTTGTGATCCGTATGCAATTGTCCACGAGAACCCATAGAGGTTGTTGCACTTTGGGTCCTTTTTGTACTGATGCTTCACTCTGTACACATAGATCGCTAACAGGGCCTCAGCCTACGGCAGCCCACACATGCTACGGCGGCTCGTCGACGGCCATGTCTCCTTGTACAGAGGGTACACTAGATGCCATCGGCGGTCTCCTCTGAACCCTAAACCCTGATGAGCCCTAAACCATCCTAAACCCGTATGCCCTAATCCGAGTCATGTTTGTCATGCTATACCGGCGGCTGCTACACCTACATCTGGCATCACTACCGAGGTCAGGCATCTTCTATTTCGCAGCTGTCATGTGCAAGGCGCTCCTGGGGATAGAAGGGTTTGTGGTCATGACACCGAAGGGAGTTGAATCCTTTGACCATTACGCACCAGCATCGTCCGAGGCTGCTGTGCTAACGCTGCCAGCGGCGCTGTTGATTCAACGAGTCTGCTACCGAGCATGTGCGAAGTGTGTATGGGCCAGGCAACTTTGCAAGGTTTGTCACATAAACCTCATACGATGCATTGGCACACGTCAGTATTGAATTCTCCGGCATCACGGAGCTAGTAGTACTAATGAATAATAACAGCAAAAGTAATGACAATAATCATACCAACAGCAATGATAATAATGACAGTAATAATAGCAATGATGGTAATTCTAGTGGCATGGTTTCAATCCGAAGCCCGAAAGCCGACGGGCGACAGCCGTAAGCCTCGAAACCTCCGCATGATCCTGATGCAAGGTGTCATGGAGATCTTCTATGTCAGAGGAGGCCACGAGCGTTGTAAGTTCCATGGCTAGCCATTCTGATAGAGTACTGTTCTAGGATGCTTGTACTAAGATGCTTGCATTCGGTAGCAGAGCATGAACGAGGAATGCATGTAGCATGCGAAAGTTTGACTTGGTAAGTGGAGAGGAACCCACGTCCCGCTGCTCACTGCATTCATTGATGCCGGCCCTGGGCTAAGGGGGCTTTGTTTCCATGTGTCCGTAAACTTTCGGGGCCTCAATAATTACCAATACTACTGTGGGGGGTTCCTTAGTACGAGTATAGCATAATATACACCAAAACCCTATTCTAATTATTGCGGCCCCTATGTTTGCACAGGAAAAAATGGCACTTAAAATTCTGCGCACTGAAGCGAGGACTTACTCCTGTGCTTGCTCCCCCCGGCAGCCTTCTACCTGGCATTTCAAGCAGCAGGCCACGCTGCAAAATGGCGTTTCTTCTTAGAGCTTCATGGGTAGTTATAAGTGGGGTTATAAGTCCCCTAATATGGGGTCCTAAGTATAGTGCCCTACTTATAACTCTATTTGTAACTACCCATGAACCTCCAAGTTGTGTTTGTTCGTTCAGGCAAGACGTAGCCCAGCCGTATGGAAGCCCTGTCGGCAGGAGCAGTGTAAACTTCAGGTGCAAGCGAAACTAATATAGGGGCCTCAATAACTAGAATAGGGTTTTGGGGCCCCTTATACTATACTTGTAATAAGGAACCCCCAAAATACTATTGGTAATTATTTAGGCCCCTATACTAAAGCAAGAGTGGTGAGCAGCTTCAAGTCTCAAGCAGGAAGTAGAGTCGCCTCATCCTCGCATCATACTGCTGATGGACAAAATCCTGCAT